CGAATAATTGTTTGCCTAGTCTACTTATGCATTAATTACTAATCTGCCGCACAGCAAGTCACGTGTAGCCCTCACTTTCCACCTTGTTAAATGTATATCCCATTCCGTATTCCATTTTGCAGTGCCCCTTTGGCGGCTTTAACCTTCCCACCTTGTTGGAAAACTGAATTAAGTCGCTGCACTTGAAGAAATTTCGCATAGAATTTTGGGATGGAAATCTTTAAAGTACTTGTTCTTAGATTTAGGATAGTAGATAAAAAAAATTGTATTTCAAATCACATACAATTTAGAGATGGAATTCTTTAAAGTACATGTTCTTAGATTTAGGATAGTAGATAAAAAAATTGTATTTCAAATCTGAAAGGCTGGCCACTTTTTTAAAAAATGGTTTTATTTAAGTTTTAGTTTTAGGGTTCTCCATAAATATATATTTATTTATATGGTTTTATGATCCTAAGTTTATAAAAATTGAAAAATATAATAGTTGTATTATAATACTCCTTCATATTATTATTAACTATTAATTCTAGGGTTACATAGGCAATTATATCAGTGATTTTGAATAAAAAATTTTGTATTATAATACTCCAATGTTTTGAACTATTAGTCCATGGTATAGGGCATTAAATCAGTGATTTTGAATAAAATATTTTGAATTATAATACTCAATTTGTACTTATTTCCCTAAGTAGAGGTACTATACTTTTATTTCTGTGTAGAAACTACAACTTTTGATGCATTGAACCTGCGAATGAATCACGTTGAACCGGCTACGCCCTTAGGAACACCTCACCTCGTCCTCCCTCTACAGTTTGCCCTGGCTAAATATAAACATTTAAGGTGGGGCGATTGAAGAGAGCAACTGCGAGATTTTAGCAGATACGGCTATTTGCATTTGCCTTTTTTCATTCGCCAATCAATATTTGTTTGGCAATTTTACAAATTGCAAACAAACATATAAAGCCGGGCCAAAATGCAAGCCAAAACAGCTATTGACCCTCAACTTGAACTAGAAAACCAAATAACCGGGCATGGCGTTAAATTGAATTGTATGTATGTTCGGCCGGCTGTTTGCCCCCCCCCAACATTATTTTGTAGTACCATGTTGTTGTTGTTGTTCGCTGACAATGCATAAAATTTGAATAGCCAAACAACGATCTCTAGGAACAACAAACAATGGCAACAATGGGGCCGTTCAACGACTTTTGCACCTATTTTATATGGCTGGTCACACTTATGTGTTCAAAATTGAAGATGGAGATGAAAATGGGTGTGAACTGTGAGGGTCAGTGGCGTGGGAAGATTTTTGACAAGAAGGGGGTAGTTGGTAAATTAATTTATAAAGAAAATTGATTGCTTGGCAAATTAGGAAGGGACCTACAAATCCATTTCAATTTTAAATGCATACATATATATAAAGAACTATTTTTCAAGCGCTGTAATATTTTGTTGTTAATATTTTTTTCAAATATTTAGACCGCACTGTAGGTGTTACCTACAGCAACATTACAACATAAGGTCACTTTTTTATGTAGCCATAAAGGAGGTTCTAATTTTCTTTGTTTCTTATGTTGGTGTAAAATAGTGTGAATAAATCTTAGATATCAAACCGCAATATCTTTAACCCAAAATATTATAGTTATTTAGATTTCTTATGATAGTGTGAATAGGTGAGTAAATAAAAAATATCATACTTAACCTATAACTTATGGTTTACTTTTTAGAGTTCAAGACTTTGTTTAAGATTTAAGTTTCCCCTTTTGCAAGCCCCTGGCTGACATTGCTCAGGGTCATGGAGTAACTGTACAATGCGAAGCTAATCAGCATAGCGAAAGAGTAAGTGAAAGGAGGAGAGAATAAGCGAGGGGGCCTTGACTTTTCTTGGGGTTGCCGACACACACACACTCATGCCCATAAAAAAACACTACCCAGTTTGTAAGCTTGATTGCCGGATTTTGCTTTAATTTCATTACGTTTTGTGTTTTTTGTTGTTTGCTCAAAACGCGTCTTTGGCTTTTTTGGCGTCGATTTTTGACTTCGTTTTTGAACGTGACCTTTTTGGCGTAAAAAATCTGTAGATATATTTAGCGCTTCGACTGGTTCTTCTTCTCTTGCCTTTTTCGTACACCCACCGCTCCGAAAGGCGAACACGTGCAGATAAACGTTCTTAGAGATACACACATATGTAAGTATAACAATAACTACATATTTTCGCTTTCCAGCTTTGATTATTTGTTTAGCGGCTTTGGCGTTTGTTGTTCGATTGTACGAGTATATTGTGGTTGTTTATGTGCGTTCGCACATGTATTATTTGCTATGCTAACGTTTTCTTCTTGACGGATTTGATTTAATTACCGGGCCAAGTTTGTTATTGTTTCGAGTGGCGTTGGTTAGCTAACCCCTAATTGAGATAATACCCCAAGTGCTCTGGGAGAAAGGAACAAGGTTCAATGGCAGAGTTAAACTACAATTAAAGCGGGCTTAACGAGGGGGGTGGTAACACCCATGCCATCGTTAATCATGCGGCTAATTAATGCCAAAAGCATCGCTTTCATTGGCATCGAAATCGCATAAAGCCGCAGGAACGGAGTAGAGTATCGCACACACTCGATGCCAATAAAATCAATTTAATTGATTCGCTTTATTTCAATTGTCTGGGAAAAGTGGGTATTGTTTGTTTATTTAATTCACTCCTTAGAACGAAATTAATTTGCATTTAACCAAGTAATGAAAAGTAATTGATTTAACATATTAGCGTTTTACTATTTAAAAGTGAAGCAGTATTTTTGGACACGTGCTTAAATGATGTTATAAACATTTTTAATAATAATTTAATAAAATTAATTTCATTCAATGGATTCAGATTACTTGCCAGATTTAATTGAATTTAATTTAATTAATTTAAAATACCATATTGAAGTGTTAATTGAGTGACACATATGCTAATGCGTTTATTAATTTAAGTGCTGCTTGCTAATCTGATTAAATGTGCACGCGTTGTTTATATACAACATTTTTAAGAGTCCCATATTGCTTTTACAAAACAATAAGCTCTGAATTTAATTTTGACCATACAATATACAAATATATTGCATTTTATTTTAATGCCTGCTTTTGGCAGATAGGAGGATTAACTTAAAAAATTCCCTTCTTTTAGTTAATGAATATTTTTGCTTCAACATGTATATATACAAATTTTATAGCGGAAATTCGCCAAGCCCATTAAACTTCTTGTTTAAAATTTTCAAAATTAGTTCTGCAGTGATGGCAATGAGAATGTTTATAATTAATCTTTTAGTTCTTTTTAAGTATTTGTTTTTTTTTATCGTTTACTGAGACCGATGGTCATTTGTCTGACTTATAGACTCAGTAAGACAATGGACAATATAAACAGTCTTTGCTTTCCTATGGGTAATGGAACTTTATCTTTTCTACTTAGAGAATAAGATATAGGGGTTCTCGAGCTGCACTTACTACAGGTGGCTGGTTGTCGAAGTCTACGTGACTCGGATCACGGCCAAGAATGATAAACTAATCTCGATTCATTCAGAACCAACTTAACAATCCATATGAATACAGCTGGGCATGCGCAGTGACGCAGATCGACTGACGTGCGGCTATATATAGCTTATATATATAGCTTTTAATATCGATCAGTTGGCCAAAAATACTAAGGCACTTCCGCTGAATATTAAAGATTGCCAATGTGACGCTTCGCGCTTTAAATACATTGTAACCGAAACGATCGATGAGATCTCCGCATAAATTAGACATTTAGGGACTTACTTTCGTTTCATCGTCGGTTTAACTTACGTAACTTGACACGCACATAATTAATTAGAACCTCAGACATATTTTTTCACTGCCCAGTCTGGGCAGCCAAATAAAAGCAAAAGTTCTTAGCTGCCAAACAAATGCAAATGAGTCGCGGAGCTACGACTGACTCATTTCCCAGTATGTAAATAAATCTGAATCTTCAGCCACTTTTGCGAATATTTAGATAAGCAGACTGAGATACAGAAAGCACAGCATTCAGAACTCGGTTCTCAATCTCATGCTCAGATCGTGCGATCTGCCAGAAGCTTAGAACCTGAAAAGAAAATCTCGCACATGGCTGATTAATCAGATTGCTGAACCCAGAACCCAGAATAAAAACCTGAATCAGAGGTCCAGCAACTATGTGAATCGCAAAAGATTTCGCTTCACGGTGATCGCAATCAGGAAAATAAATATGTTCGGTGTCTTGTATCGTTGAAACTATATATCAAACAGTTTGAGAAGTAAGTATCCCCATGGATTTGGTTACGGAAAGTAGAAGATGGGGATACTCTTTTGCAATATACTATACTATTTTCATTAGCAAGTGTTTCTTGCTTAATTAGCTAATAGGATATGGTATAGCAGATAAACTTTTGTCAAGCTACTAATCAAATTATAACTTTATAAATTGAGTTAATTTTATAAATCTATTATAATGTAAAGTGAATAGTTTCAATCAGGTACGAAAGTAAATATAAAATTGAATTGCATCCCAAATTATACATTTGGTTTTGTTTTCTTGTCACATGAATTTGCATCCAAGAACAACATTTAATTTAAATATGAAAAGTTTTAGATATTAAATATTGAAAAAAGGTTATAATTTTATTCAGTACCTAACATACAAAAATCCCCTTTAGAACGTATATTTCAAAGCCACCTTAGTTTTATTTACTTTCAGAACTAGAAACTCAACTTGCTTGCATATTGCTTATAGGAATTTATTAAGTTTTGCAACTATGAGATTCGCATAAAAAAAATTCACACGTTTTGCGGGAGTTTGCCATTTGTGAAACTTTCATAGTCAAGTAGTGAATTTCGCATACTGAAAAGGTTGAGTAAATAGCAAGACGAGCCAAAGGGAAAAGTTTGGTGTAATTCAAGTAATATTTAATAGACCGCAAAGTATAAAATTTAATAGAAGTTGGGGCTAGAACTTGGTGTGAAAACTTTGGCATTACCTTATCCAGTTGACTGCGCCTCTCAATCATTTTGGCCACTTAATTGATACACTCCCAATTTGCGGAATTCCAGCCACTTTTCACTCTCGAGCACTCACACTTGAATGATTATTTGCTTGACTAATTTCCGCCTAATCGCGAAACTTCTTTTTTTTTTCGTTACTTTTTTGGCGAATTTTGTTGCGGAATCGCCGTGGAGTTTAGTGGGTATTTCGGGTATTCAAGTAGGTTGTAGAACGCCAACCGCTCGGAGGCAACCGTCTCGTGTTGTATGAAATTCGCAACTGAACTGAGCTGAGCACTTAAGAGTCTCTTACCCGCCACTCAAGCCGTACACCTCGTGCCCCGTACCTCTCGGATCTCAGATTTTAGATCTCAGGCCCCGAGCTACAATATACAAGCCTGACTTCAGCGCTCTGGCCAACTCAAGCCGGCAACGAAGCGTCTCACGTTTTGTTTTCTTTCTGATTTTTGTTTTTTATTTGTATTTTTTCCGTTTTTGGTTTTCTGATATTTTTTTTTTTTGGATCTCGGTGAGTCGAGCGGGCTGAGCTGCGAGCGGGTTGCCAGGCGAGTTTCTCAGCTTTGTTGGCGCCTAACGTGTTTGCTTTCTGGGCTTTCATGAGCAGTAGGGTGGCGGGATGGCTTGGGAATGGGGTTTTAAGGTGGTTTGGGGAGTTTCAGGGGATTACTGGGTGGTTAAGTAGCCGAGCACGTAGCTCAGCTGTTCTTCGAGCGGGCTGCGCGTGCGCAGTTCAATCCCTTTCGCAAGCCATTCGCCCGGTGTATATACACAGGGAAAAAGTGGTGGGGGCTCATAAAGATCTTACTAATACTCTTTCCAAAACATTTTAGAGATTCCCACATAATAAAACAATTAAGAAAAGCACTGAATAATAGATAACAGTATTATGTATCAAAGTCTAAGAGATACAATTCGACTTCACTAAACAAAATTTGGAATAACTTTTTTGTTTTTGATTTAAGAACCATTTTGTATCTAAAATATAAAGAAACTTGGAAACATCCCATATATTGACACACTTTAGAAAACACTATAATTATTATTTAATCAGATTACGAATTCTATAAGTTCCGATTGGATTTTGCTATAATAACTTCTGATGAATCCTTGGATTTTTTTTATCATTGTATTAGGACTCAGGGAAACTTTTGCAAATCTTCCCAAGAAAGTATTTGTTTTAGTTTGCAGGAATCTTTTTTTTACAATCTTTAGATATTTCCGAACCATTATTTTACTGAATTTATTTTGATATTTAAGTAAGAGCTCAAAAAATCACTTTCAATTTGTTCTGGTTTAATTTTTTAAATTTATAGTCACATTCCCAGTAGTAAAAAATTATTTACAAAAAATCTCAAGCAGATGCGAAATTCACTGTCAATTTTCACGTAAAGTGCTGTGTATGCATTGTAGAAAAAGCTGTCTGGAAAACCCCTACTTAGATCAATAAACCATTCAAAAGTTAATTCTCAAGAGGCTCGACGGGTCAGTTAACTCCAGCGATATCCACCGATCAGTAAGTGCATTCCACTTTTGTTATAATACCTTTTTGTTTGCCTTCCTCGAGTGGTGTGAAAAGGCAACAGTGAGGCCCGACTGACTGAGTGACTGACTGATTAGTTGCCGTTTACTTGAGGCTGCCCCTGCCCCCTCAAATAACTTATTTAATATTAGGATGGTGGGCTGGTCTCTTTGCCGGGGCATTGACGTTTGTTTGAGTTTGCCAGCCGGTTGTTAACTTTCTTTTCCGCATATGCGGCAATCAATTCGCCATGCACCGCAAAGCATGGACTGCAATTGTGGTTGGAGCAAACTTTCACCCGATCGCGTCAACGGGACGGATGAGTCAACTGCATCATTCATACGCCGCATGGTCTATCCCGAGTATTTGTACTTTATCTTACCTTGTTTGCAATTGGTTCACACTTGATTTGACTGCCGGCAAGCTTTATCGATATTTGACCTGTTCGCTGGTCTATAAACTCCACTGAACTGACAATCGCACGACCGGTACTATTGTTATTTATGCCAAAATAGGGAAATTACTGGCGAAATTTATTGGTATTTATTGAACCAGAGTTTTAATTGCTCTCCACCAAAAAAAACTCAGTGTGAATCAGAGTGTGACGAATCAAAATCATCTGGCCAAAAAACCAATCGCTAATGATTCTGGGCGAAATTCCTCCTCGGTTGCCTGGAAATCAAATTTGATTTTAATTCGCACCCAGACCTTCTGCATACGGATTTTCGGGGTAGGGTCAATAATTGGTCCTGGACTCCTACGTGATTCTATTGCGGAAGCAGGTTCGTCTGTGGTACCCGGAAATGTTTGAATAAACGACGAATTCCCAGGAACTGAATGGCGCATCAGATGGATTTGGACTGGGGGTGGGGAAATTCTGGCACACACGTGAATCCATTTGGCATCTCAATTATGGTCAGTTGTGCGTGGGTTACCCAATTCGCTCTTCATCCATCCTCTTTTTCTGGCCACAATCAGCAGGGTTATCTTAAATGAATGCACTCCAGCTCGAGCTCCAAGTTCATCCTCATCTTTATCCCCAATAATGTTGTCCGAAAAAATAAGAGAAATAATACAGCAGGGTATCTCGACTTTATGATACTCTTTTAATATCAAATATTATTTTAAGTGTTAGTTTTATAAAATGATTTAGGTGATGAAATTATTTTCTCTGCTTCATGGAAAATCTAAAATATCTCTTTAATAGTATAACACTAATATTTTAATATTGCATTAAAAAACAATTGTAAAACATTTAGTATGTATTGTTATGTTACAATTAGAAGATTTCATTTATAGAGTTAATAAAATTTAAAAATATTATAGGAAGCATAGGAAAAATAGTTTTAAAACCGTTAAGTTTTCTTGTAATATTTGTATTTGTACTTCAAAAGTATGTAGTGATTATTTTACCTTTATATACATGGCAACAATTAATTAATAAACATGTTTTTATCTTATGATATTTTGGGAATCACTTATTTCGTGGAATATATCCTTGTGTAAAATAAAACAGATATTAAATTCTGCTAGTAAATATATTTCAAAAGTGACCGTTAATTTGTTATGTGTTTGTCGGCACCTTTGCATGATTAATGATTTAAAAATTCCAAAAACTTCTAAAAATGAAAAATGATTTCCTATTTATCTTTAAAGGTAAATTGAAAACCATGTTCGTAATTAAATCCAAATTTATTGTCAGAATCTGAGTTGCATTTATGTTGATGATGACGAATTATCCCACTCAGTAAGTATACCCCAGAATGCTGATTCTACCAGATAACGCAAAGCGGAAATTGTGCCAAGTCTCATGTTGATTTCGCACTCTGCCGAGAAGCAGCTGCTTTTTGGCTTCTTGGCTGGTTTTCGCCTCGTTTCTGCGGTTGCAATTATGCCAATCTCGTGGATGCCGCCAAGTGCACACCCGAAGATTGTTTCAAGTTTATTTTACAGCACGCAGCTTTTAATCACAGCCAGCAATGACCTTAAACATCAAGAGAGTCTGGGTCTTGGGTTACGTGAAGTTGGGCTTGGGTTTGTTTTGGGTTACGGCATTGGTGGGGCATTTACTTGGATGGGTTTGCTAGACACAAACAAAAGCACTCAAACAAAATGACACAATACGCCTAGGCCTCAATAGAATCGATTAACTAATTCCTGCTATTCAATTACTTTTACTAAGCCACACCCAATTATTCCGCCCATCAATGTGAATAATTTATGAATAATTGCAATATGAATAAGTGAAGTGCGAAATATAAGTGTATTATTTTTAAGTACATAAGTATTGGGAAACGTTTTTTGAGGTGACAATTTATTTTAACTATATCTTCGTATTTATACATCAAATAATATATTCCTTACAGTTGGGGTGTGTGATTTGCTTTAGAAATTTATTTTTTCTGTTTTAGTCTCTTTTATCTTTATATCTGTGCAATTATTTCATCTGCCTTGGCTGTGGTGGCATTTGATGATCGCAAAATTAGTTTTAAATTGCCCCTTGTCAGCCAACATTCGTGTAATTTTATGTCATTTTAACAAATGCTTATCTGTTCGGACGTGAGCAAGTCACTAAACCAAAACATGTCAAGGTCGCCATGGATGTATATCTTTAATTTTGGAGTATGTAGGTGATTTATTTTAGAAAATCATGAAACAAAAAAATACTTCCTGAAAGAAAGGAGAGTTCTCCATTGCCGAATTACAGTTGCCATTTTAAATTGCCTCAATTTGTACCAAAATACTTTTGCTTAAAAAAAAACGAACAAATCCAAGCCGATTATGTTGGATCATTTGTATGCATTTTGAATTGCAGACTAAGGTTCAAAGTTCTTGTGGACCAGAAATGTACATTTTACAAATTGCTTACATATACAATCTACCTTTTACAACTACCAAAACTAAAACACAAATGCAAAAGAATCAAAATGTTTGTTTGCTAGTCATGTAAAGTGAAAACTTGCACATTTTGTAAGTTTGTTGAACTCTGTGGCCATGTGGTAAACTGGAATTTCTGTAAATTGTTGGTCAGAGTAAATATATCAGAACCCTTTGTGGCACTTCCCAGTTGCCCTAATGTTCGTTCCCATTTACTGGTTGCTAAATAAACTGAGGAATAGCTAAGGTACTACGCACAATTTGCAAAAAGAGCTAGAAAGTGGGCAATGAAACGGCTCATTAAACAGAAAATAGCATTAAAACCCATTTAAAAATACATTTAATCACTCGTTATCAGTCAAGCAAGGCCATAAAAAAACAACACGCTACTGTTTGTTTGTTTGTTTGTTTTCCGAAGGAGGGTAAGCAATCGGATCAGGCCCATTAAGGGAGTGGGTGTAGTACACACGTCATCAGCATAATTGTTGCCGTTGCCATCGCCATCCCCCCAAACACTCGTCATCGCGCTCATTATTGTCATTGCCACTCGGCGGCATTTAAAATTTCAATTGTCCCGCCTGCCCCGCCAACTCCGCCAATTGAGAGCAGCACGTGTCGCGGCCACGCCCCCTGCAACCCCACGCCCATTGAGCCTGCCGTAACAAGGTGCACCGAGAGAAAAAATACTTTAAATTTAATACTTAATTATAGATTAAAAAGTATTCATAAAATATCTTTGAAAAAATTGAATCAAGTGAAATTTTCCCCCCGATAAAAGAATATGTTTAATATACTTTTATTAAATAAGTCAACCTATTAAATTTATAATTTATAACGTATCCCAAAATAGCAACAATATATCTTCAATATGTAAAGGTTCTATTGTTGTTTTTTTGGGATGCAATTCTTTAGAAAACCGAATCAGGTGAAATTATCCGGGTTAGAAATCATTTCTAAACAATTACGTTTGTAATTTTAGTTACCCCGTTGAACCAATATATTTAATATTCTTTAATTACATAAGAAAATCTATTAAGCTTCATATTTAAAGCATATCCCAAAAAAGCAACAATATAACTTTTTTTTAAATGTTCTTTAATTTTAAATGAAGAATCGTTCAAATGATTTGTGTTAACTCTATATATATAATAAAATGGTATCCCATAGATGGTATCAATTAAAAGTTTCGACTTAAGTTACCATGCTTTTCTTTCTCTGTACTCGCGATGCCTTGGTTACACACGTTCTTTCTGTTTATTCGCGTTTCCATTCACATTTTCCGCATATGAGGGGCGAAATGCCTCTTGGCCACGTTTATTGCCGCCGCATCATTTGCATTTAAACGGTGGAGTGTTACCCGTGTTACCTGTGATTAAACGCAACTGCAGGACTGCTCGTAACCAGCTCATTCGGCCAGGGATTTATGGCGATCGTTTAGCTCGCAGTTGTAGGTCCATGTTGATTCCCACTTTTGGGCGCTCGACAGTTGGTTCGATTTTAATTTATGGGGTCGAGTATTTTTCAATTGCTTTGGTAGGAAGATTAGTTAGTTAGAGGAGCTACAACCAACTTAGCTGAAATATAATTTGTGATTATCGGCGACTATAAACAATCGAAATAATATTCGAGCGGAATTTTTGGAAACTTTAAGTCGATGGCGATTTTTTGAAATAAATACCCCTATACCTTTTTAACAAAAATTACTAAATTAAATATTTTTCTAATATTAAGAAAAAAAAATTCAGGGCGAATACTTTTTTTAATGCATATACACGGTTATCAGTTATTTCGAAAAATGTACCGACTAGCGATGCAAAATAAGATTGCAAGATCAGCAAAAGTAAGAATTACAGGCTGATCTTTATTGTAAGAAAACTAAATTTAAAATTAATTAAGTTAAACTAAACTTTACAGCATTAAAATGTTTAATAAAACTTTAATAAATTTAAGCACATAAATTTTAAAATTTACATTCTTGTCAAAGGGTATGGTTGGGATTGATGGTACATATAAGTAATTATAATAATTTTTCTAAATACAATGATGATGATGAGGCGCTGTAAAATGAAATTCTGGGAATCCATTGCTTATCTTCAATGTGGAAATGCAATAAAAGCTCAGACCCTGGGCATGCAGCTCAGTTAATCCGCCCATTATTATGAAGATCGTCGCAGCTATTATAACCCTGCTGCCTTGGGTTAATCTTGGAAATGGACAATCAGCTGTATCATTCCTAGAACCGAATTGCGGCATTTCGATCTCAGGATCGCGACGCTGGAGAACCAGGGTAATCGGCGGTGAGACAGCAGACATGTTCGGAAACCCATGGATGGTCTATATAGAAAACAGCATTTCGTGTGGTGGCACGCTTATCACCAACCGTGAGTATTTATAATTGAAATATTAAGAAAATATCAATATTTGACTATTTACAGGATTCGTGCTTACTGCAGCTCATTGCATAAGGAACAGACCCACGTGAGTATCATAAGCACATAAATAAATTTATAGATGTTATCTTATCATAACTTCTGGTTACAGTATGGTATACCTAGGGGAGTTTGATAGGTCGAGCAACCCCGATTGTTCTAGAAGAGGTTGTCTTCCAAGAGCCATCGGAATTCCCGTGGATGCTCAAATAGCTCATCCAAGATATGTACATCACTCCCGGGATGATATAGCTCTGTTTCGACTGGCCAGGCCGGTGCAGTATACGGGTAAAAGAGGTATATTTTCCCCAAAGGATCTCCCTTATTCCTTACTGTACTTTATAGACTACATAAGGCCAATCTGCCTGGTGACCAACAACAATCCCCTGCCGCAAATCAGGACATTAACTGCGACTGGCTGGGGTGAAACGGAATTCGGAACCGAAAGCAACGTCTTGAAGACCACCACCTTGACGCAAGTGGATCGCAGGTATTGCTCCGCCTTATACGGTCGAGTTGATATGTCGCATATTTGTGCCGGTGACTTATCTACGCATGTTTGTCGTGGGGACTCCGGAGGACCAGTCTCCAGTATTTTAAGGGTAAACGGCAAGAGCCGGGTTATTCAGCTCGGAATTGTCAGCTATGGAGATCTGGAGTGCAGGCAGTGGTCGGTCTTCACGAATGTAATGCACCATATGAACTGGATCGTAGACACCGTACGACGCAGGCAAAGACCAAGACAATAGCAATTGCACGACTAAAAAAAGGATGGTATATTGTATTTATTAGATTTATAAAGTTTTTGTTGATACAAGTGAGCAATGATTTTAAAACTCTTGTGCCATAGTATACTTATCTTAAAGTGAGGTAAGTCTGGTACTGTACACAATATTAAACTTTTTTTTCTCTGCTCGAACGTTTGGAAGATATACCCCAACTCATCTGAAATCTGAATGATAAAGATCACATTGCAATTACCGAACGTAAAAGACAAAAATCGTGCCACTACATAATTTTCCCAATTTCACTTGAAGTAAATAAACGTTTATTAGTATTCCTGAAATGCTCTTGCTTGGTAAAATGAAAAACTGGGAAATTCATTAATCTGTAAGATGCTGCTTATCATCTATACTGCATTGCAATAGAAGTTCGGACCTTAAGCAAGCAAGTCAGTTATTTGGGACACAAGCATGAAGATCGTCGCAGCTATAGTAACCCTGCTCTCTTGGCTTAATCTCGGAAATGGTCAAGAAGTTGTAACATTCCTGGAACCGACGTGTGGCGTTTCGCTTTCTACAATACACCTTAAAGTAATCGGCGGTCAAATGGCAAACATGTTCGCAAACCCATGGATGGCCTTGATAGTCAGCGACATCAATTGTGGCGGTTCGCTTATCACAGACCGTAAGAATTTTCATTTGAAATAGAATTCCTTGAGGAACATTTTAATACACAATTGTCTATTGACAGGTTTTGTGCTTACTGCTGCACATTGCATAAGTCACCACCCCGCGTAAGTACTACTAAAAAATATCCACTCAGGGTATACCTTTATCGGTGTTATATAATCATATCATCTGGTTACAGTGTGGTACACCTGGGGGACTTCGATAGGTCGACAACCGCCCAATATTGTACGAGAACAGCTTGCATGCCAAGGGCTATTAGAATCCCAGTCGATGCTCAAATAGGTCACCCAAGATTTGTTAACCCAGCTGAAAATGATATAGCCCTGTTTCGTCTGGCCTGGAGGGTACAGTTTACGGGTATTAAATGATATTTTCGGGATGGATCTCGTTGTTTACCTACTTTTCCATAGACTTCATCAGGCCGATCTGCCTGCTGACCAACTACAATCCCTTGCCACAAATGAGATTCTTCACTGTCACCGGTTGGGGTGCAACGGGACATGGAAAAGGGAGTGACGTTTTGAAGACCACAAACCTGGAGCAAGTGGATCGCTCGAATTGCGCAGAAGGATAGATATGTCGCATATTTGTGCCGGAGACCGCGCTTCGGGTGTTTGCCATGGGGACTCCGGTGGTCCAGTCCACGGTACATTTATGATAAACGGTAGGACCCGGGTTGTTCAGGTTGGAATAGTCAGTTACGGAGATCATGATTGTAGAAAATGGTCGGTCCATACTAATGTAATGTACCACATGAACTGGATCGCTTATACTATCGGACAAGTCCAATGACCGAATTGCAGTCATTTGAAAGTAAACATAACATTTTACAAAGATTTATTTAATTCTTAAAACTAAATTTTTTAACAAATGAATAAAATTTTAATGTTTGCCACCATACTTAACACTCTTTAAGTGCGCATATATTTTTTGAAAGTTAACCCTCTACATATTTGAATATATGTTATGTATTTATTCAAATTGTTGAACCTATAAGTTTGTCATTTAATTTCGATTATTCAAATTAAAAAGTTTTATTGCCTTATAAACTTTTTTTTACCATAGTACAACATTTCATAGCATAAAAAGTACAACTTTATATTGGTTTATTTGCATATTTTTTACAATTTATAGCATAAATCTATGCAAATTTAATATTTTTCAACTACCCAGTAATAAACGGAATCAGGTATGCACAAGTGGATAAACTCGGATTAAAGAGTTTGAGCTTGCTGTCCCTCTCTACCCGTTCAGCCCATCGCTTTCTCTTTCTCTGACTGTCAACCCGTCTCTGTCGCACCCAGAATACAGCGTCTGTCACTTGTTGTCGCTGTCAATTAAACGTAATCCCTTCGGCAGAGTTAAAATCTGCTCGTCCTTGTGAATTTGCCAGCTTGTGTCACAAGTCAAACTAATTTTCGACCTTTCGTCTTTCGCCTACAGCCGCCCCTGTGGAAGTTTCCCGGGTGGGCGTGGCGTTGGGGCACAAATAACGCTCATTAGCCGTAATGAGTTATAGTTGGACTGCAATCCACATTGGACGCCAAACACTCTTTAGTGGCAATTATGCTGGGGGGTTCCTTTTTATAGCCCTGGTAGTCATAAAGTTTTGAGCTATAAATACTTTGGCCAAAGGCCTTTAAATGGAGAAATGGATGGGGGAGATTCCAGTTCTGAAAGAGTTGGGGAGATCGAGCTTAGAGGACCACAAATTGTTTGACATTTGGCACTGGGCCACCCCAAAAGAATCCTTTCCCGAAACCGAGTAACCTTCTTTAACTCCTGCTTACGAACCATCTGTCTCCCTCACACCCCCTGCTGTCGTCTCTTTCTCTCTATCTTGAGTCCTATAGAACTATGGTTGCTGTTGTGTTATTGTCACTTGCCAGCGGCAGTCCTGTGTTATTCTATCCAAGTTTTCCGTCACACAACAAGGACGAACTTTTTGTTGTTAATTCGTGCAAGTTTCGGGCAAGTATTTACGTGCTTCGCCATAGGAGAAAGAGAGGGGTATAGGGCAGCAGAAAGAGAGGGCTAGAGTCACTCGCAGGCCGGCTGCTGTGAAAGTTTTGTATGTTAATGGCATAGTTTAGCCAAAATGTTTTTACTGACGCCTGCCGCTCACGCTCCATTCCCAAAAATATATATCCACGTCCTCAAATTTTGCAAAATCTTCTGGCCTCTGCCTCTGGTCATTTTTCCTGGCTCACATTCCCCGACCAAAATTAACTTTCACTCACCACATCACCCCCTCATCGCTCACTTAATGTGCCATTGCCCACGTTAAGTGACTTTCTTATGCCGGTTGTAAAATTTCCCTCTTTATATGGGAGCATATGGATCCTGTTTCTGCCACCATCCTTGTTTTCGGTGCACTAGGAGAATAGGTTCCCGACTTACTTACAGGACTATCTGTTATATTTATCCAAAAGTGCTCTAAGATTATATATAAGCTATGCATTTTTTAGATAACATAGGTATTTTAGAGAAACCTAAAATATAATTTTAAGCTATTTCAGATTACATGTCAATCAGTATTCGCCGAAACTTACGTATTTTATGACTATAAAGTATTTAGAATCTTTCTCTAAAGATTTTTTTTGATTATAATGTGTAATAGGTACTATATAAATAATATAGTTCAGAAAACTTATAATTTAATTTGATTAATTTTTGGAATTTTTTCCCTAAAGATTTATAATATTTTTCTCAAGTGTCAGATAAAACTTGCGCCAACATAGCTGTGGTTAAATATGCCAGGACTAAGAAAGCTTGTAATTTACTCGAGTACACCGAGCTGCAGATGTCCTTTTGGCCCCTCCTCCGGTCGCATGTGGCTGTTGGCCAAGTTAAGCCATTGACAAAACTTTCGCCAAGATAGTTTTCGCCATTTTTCTTTTGATTTACTTTGGTAAATTTGAAACTTCTTGGCCTGCTTCCCCGAATGTGGAAACTATTAATTTCGAATCAGGGCCGCTGGCTGCCTGGATTTAGATTTAGTTGGTTTATTGCTAATTAAATATAAAGTCGGCAAAACCAATGGCAAATGTGGAGCTTTAATTTATGTGCCCGCACCTGTTGGTTTCTGTGGTTCTGAGCCGTTCGAGTGGCCCACGTACGTAACCACTTGATGCTCGAGGACGGAGCAATCCTCAGTCCTCATCAGCATCCAGGGGCATCCCGATTCCCGGCCCCATCCGTTGGCTACTTGTGGCTGTCACAGCAACGGAGGTAAAAGCAACAGCCACTTGCTGTTGCAACCGTATTAACATTCTGCTTAGCAACAAATTACATTCAGCCGGGGGAAGTGGCCAATGAGCCACTTCAGCTGAGTGTTGTGCACTGCGAGAAATAAGCTGGCTAATGCAGCGGGAAACAAAGAAAAAACCCACTTGTCAAATCAGCAAAGTGCCTCTTAGGTATTGTTAGGACTATTTCTAAGTGATCGTTTTTTTTGGCTTAGCTAATTTTTTCTTCATCAAATTGTTTTCATAATAGCGTTATAAGTACGAGTATTTTTTGATTTAAGCTGCCCGCTAAGCGGTTAATTGTATTATATATTTATTTTACTTCGAAAATATATTTTAATAAGAATACGTTATCAATAATGAATTATTTAGACATTTTTCATAGTGGAAAATAAATGTATACATATGTGACCTGGTGGTGTTTTAGTGATTTTAAATGTTCTTTAGATTCTTTATCAAGAATGATATATTAGGAATTAATGTTGGCTTAGCTTAATAGATTTTTCAAAGTGAAAGAAGACAAATCATGATCAAATGTAAATATGCTTCAATTATCTAAAGAATAAATAATAAATTAACCAGTAAATTTTAATGGTAAATCAAGGAATATATATCCAAAGTTATTTCAGTTATTTACAGATAGGGTTCAAAAATCTTTGATAGAAACCTTTTAAGCCTAAGGTTCGTAAAGGAATTATATGGATGACTCCCATTTTGGCAGTGCAACCGTCTGGCCAACTAACTTAAATCACCTCCCCAGTGCAGTGAAGTTTTCAAGTAACCGCTTTCCTGACTTGCAGACTCCAGTTGGATGGGTTTTGGGTTTTCAGGAGGGGCCAAACGATAAGCACGGAAAATGATGATGGCGATGACGAGGTCCTGACGAAGTGAGCCAAGTGACCAAATACAATTTCCGGCTGGCGGCAAACAGCTGAGTCTGCTTAATGTACAAAGATCCAGTGCGGGAAACTTAAACAACACGGCTTTAGCAGTTTGAGTTGTTGTTTGTTTTGATTAAAAATTAAGCATGTCCTGGTCGGGATGGGACTAAAACGGGGACTGGACCAGGGACCTCCAGTACGTGCTCGGCTTGGGGAATTAGGCGGCAAACAGAAGTAAATGCGTTCTGTAATAAATTCAAATCAACTTCGGATGCCGGGCAACATGGTCATCAAATCGATTGGAACACAAAGTCGCACCCACACACACGAGCTCATTGGGATGGAGCTGTCCCAGGATGCTCTTTAGTTTTTGCCAGCTATAAATTTTAGCTGCTGGGTCCCTTTTTGGCTTCCATTTTACAATGTTCACTTTGCAGATCCAACACGGACTTTGTCCCGACTTAAGCGCATTACGGACTCCGGCTATTCCGGAACTTGGACTCCGGATTGGGATCCGGATTGTAAAGGGAGGGCAAAGTCTTTTAATGTCTTATCGCTTGTGCAAATAAATAAGCGGGCAATGGCATTCGGCTCAAGCCTTGTTATCCCGGTTGAGCAATTGATTTGTTCGTTAACTGTCTTATGCAAATTTCGTTGAGTGATTCAATTAGCCCATGTCCAGGCCAAAACACGTGGCGTATACTTAACAAACTAGTGGAAGCCATGGAAGATAGAATACTGGCGAAGACATCAAATCAATTAAAATAATCTGTGTATCGTTTTCTTTTTTAGTCATTTTCCGTTTTCGTTCATTTTTGGGACTTCCTTTTGGCAACCGGCAACGGAAGTAGCTATTCCGCCATTTTGTATGCAAACACGACAATGGCTTCCGGCTGCCAAGGCCGTTGATTAGGTCTTTAGGGAAGTGGACAGTGAAAAAACTTCAGTGACTATTAGGTTTGAATTTTATAAGAAATAAACTACATGTTAAATAATTAAAAGAAAATCAGTGAAACATATCAAATTAACATTTAAATACGTTTACTTACTACTAAATATTTATTTATTTCTCTGCATTATAAAGTGTCCTGCAAACAATCTTAATTAATCAATCAATTCCTCTGCAAAATGATCATAAACAGTGAATAGGCAAACTTCAGGGTTCCAAAGAAGGTGCCCACCGAAATGGGCAGCATTCCACATGCCATGGCCTTGTTTCTCTTCAAGGACCTCTCCACGAACAACATTAGCTTCCTTTTGAAGGTTTTCTCCTGACTTATCCAGTCACAACTGAAGGCAGCATAATGCAAACGTCCAAACCAGAATTCCGAATCAGTTCCAAAGTAGCAGCACGGAAAGATTTGAACTATCATGGCTATAAAATAGCAAAAGTAGTATACCCTCACCATGGGCTCACTGGCAAAAAAGAAAAGTGCTGCAATTCCAAAACAGCTGGTAAAGGCGCTAAACGAAAATTGTATTGCCATGGGCAGCGACATAAAGGATTCCGTAATCTTGAAAAGTCTAATAAAAGAAACATCAATTAATATATATTTTCATTATGCTATGGCCCGTTTTCTCGTGCTCACGAAGCAGATAGCTTTGCCCGGTCTATGCTGCCACACGCACAGTATACCTAGTACATACATTGACCGCTGGTTAATAATCGTCCTTAAGCTATCCGTGTGGACGAGAAAACGCAGTTTTTTATATTATATGTTATAAGTAGACTCACTCCAGCAAATGCTTGTGATCTGTAATGCACCTCTCCAACTCTTTTTCCGCATCCTCAAGAGAATTCCGTCCGATTTCCTCAAGCCGACAGTACAACATTTGGGTGTGAGACGAAATCATACATAAGACCACTGACGGAAAGCAATCGCTTATGTAATTCTGAAGCAGTTGATATGAGAGGCCGCTAATTTGATAACCCAATACTAGGCAATAGATCCATAAAGATCTTCGCCAGTCGAAGGGAAACCAGCCGGGAATCATTAGATCCCATTCTTCTGCAAACAGGAACATCATCACAGCAGTGAGTCCACAGGGAGTGTAAGCTCCAATAAAAATGCAAAGAACTAAGCGCACTTTCCAGCTTACTTTGGCATATATACTCTTCTGATTTAATCCAATAACTCTTTCATCCAGCATCTTTAACAATTCTTCCATTCGACGTACTTTTCTGTAGTTTAAAGCATATATGGAAAATTTTAAAGACGATCCCAAGCACGGCAGAAATGCAGCCAAGTTCAGCATGTCCTGGTTCGTTGTTTCGTTCCGAAAGAGATTCATTCCCAGGTGAAAGGGATATCCGAAGGTGAAAATCAGACTGACAGCAATGGTGGTAAGGAAATATAACTTCCTATTGGTTTTCAGTTGGTCAGGATCAAAGAAGAGTATTTTCAGCACAAACCGATGGCTTTCGAAATAGCTCAAGCTATTGATGGTTGACATTTCAAATTCGCAATAACTTTGACATTGAGGTAGTCACTTCTCTTTTATACGAAATTCCTGGACACCGGTAATTGTCCCTAATAAGGTCGATATAATGTAATTGAAATCACCTGCGGATTCCCAGATTGGCATAAGTCACCTATTCAACTACTTTAAGCAGCTCTTAGGACTTAATCATTTTCATGTGATTTTTTTAAAGCCCCAAATATTTATCATAATAGTTTAGTATTTATTTAGATACGTTTAAAATAAACGAGAATTGTGTATTTTATTATAATAGACCTTTTAAAATCCGAGATTATGATTAACGGCTGTTTACTTTCTCATCCGTATAATGATGGTAAATAGGGAGTATGCACCTTTCAGAGTCGAAAAGAATGTATCCAGATGGATTCTCATCATGCCACCAGCCACAGCCGTGCTTTTCCTCAAGGACTGTTCAACGAACAGCATCATTTTCCGCTTAAAACTCGCATTCTGAATGTGCCAATTGCAACTGAAGGCCGCATAGTGAAGCCGTCCAAACCAGTATTCGTTGTCGGTGCCAAAATAGCAGGATGGAAAGATTTGCAGAGGCATGGCCATTGAGTAGAAGATTAAGTACATCCGAGCCATGGGCTCACTAACGAAAAACACCAGAGCAGCAATGCCGATACAGACATTCAAAGCGGTCACCGTAAATTGAATTAGCATGGGCAGTGAAATGAAGGCCTCAACACGACGAAAAAGTCTGTGAAAAAAGGAAAATTGTACGAAATTTGATACAGACAAAAAATTTTATCGCTCATATAAATCAATACGTATATTTAAAAATAAAGAAAGGACATAACAAACTTGTAAAAAATTCCATACACACAAAATATATTGTTAAATATAAATATACAACTATCAATTCTCTTTTTAAAATAGGCTTTTCAATAGGTCATTTACACACAAAACTTTAAAAGGTCTAAGATGATCTTACTTTTAGGAATAGTAATAATACAAATATATATAAATTATTGTTATAGTATGATAATATGATAAAGTGTCGTATTATTTGTATAGATAATTTTATTTAAAATTTACAACTTAACTATTTTAGCTAACTATTTCATGGTTCAAAATTTAATGGGTTGGTTCCATTAACTATTGTATTGGTTAATTTTACCATTAAATTTTATAGTGTGTCAAAACTCACTCTAGAATATGCTTGTGATCCGTGATGCAGGCCTCTAGTTCCTTCTCTGCATTTTTATCCGGATCCATTCCAACCTGCTCAAATCTCCTGTAGAGCATCTTAATGTGCGAGGAGACCAGGCACAGAACCACCGCTGGAAAGCAGTCGCTTACGTAGTTCTGCAGCAGTTGAAAGGATATGCCCGCGATCTGATACACATTCGCTATATAGTAGTTTCTGGTGGAGTGAAGCCAGTCAAAGGGAAACCAGGCTGGATACATCAGACCCCGCTCTTCCTTGAACAGAAAGGAGAGTTCGGCGAACAGGGCGCAGGGCATGTAGATGCCGATGAAAATGTACAGGACATTCCTCAGCTGCAGCCTCACCTGTCCATAGATACCTCTTTGTTCTGGGCCGACAACCCGCTCATCCAGGAGCCTCAAAAGTCTCTCCATTTCCAGGACATCCTTGATATTATAGGCATATAGCAGGCACTTCACCGAACAGGCTGTGCAGGTGGCAAAGGTGGTCAGGTTGAGGATGTCCTCGGTGAGGGTACGGTTTCGAAAGAGGGACATGCCCAGGTGAAGGGGATAGCACAGGGTCACAAACAGATTCATCACGGTGCTGTAGGTTAGGTAGAGGCTCCTCCATGAGTGGACCCAAAGATGGGCCACTCCCAGAACTCGCCAGGCGGTCCAATGGCTCTTGAAAAATTCCAGACTGTCTACTGTTACTTGGCTCATAGTTTCTGGGTTTCTTAGCCTTAAATTGTGTGTGTCTCTTCATTTAAATACCATTTGGTAATGGCTCAATTGGTGCGATTGTCCAATTATGTAATTAAGCTTGCGTGGCCACAACAATTAGGAATTAGGCCTATTGTTGCCACCTGCCGATGAACTAAGGCTTCCCATTCAGGGATCAAATGTGGAATGAAGCTTAAATTAAGTACCTTGAAATGGAGTATGGTATTCACTTACCATAGAATATTGCATTGAGCTTATAGATTTAAGTGCGACAAATAATTTTTAGAATAATTGTTTCAAGAAAATGTTTGTATGTTCTTAAAGATTATGTATTGAAAGGCAGATGTGTTTGTGTTCTATTTTAATGTTTAAAAGAACAATAAACGCATTTTCGGCAACACAATATTTGGAAGTCTTAAGTCTTTAATAATACTTTGTAAGTATACTTGAGATAAAGAGGTTTCGCAGGACTTGAGGGTTCTCTAAAGATTTTATATTTAAAAATCGCCTTTTTCGCGTCTTCTTTTTCATTTTCAAGAACTGACTGAACATATAATACCTATATTTTTACCGTCTATAAAACACCGTTTAGGCTATACTAAAAATATATAAATAAAAAATGTCCAATCCCTCATTTTTAAATTGGATTTTAAAGTAAAGAATGTTTCTTTCGTCACAATGAAAACTCTTATATTACATTATAATAAATATAATTTAAATATTTTACAAATATTTTTCTGTCATACGTAGAAATTCCATATACTAAACCTGCTACAGGGTATTAATATGCCATTATGAAAAAGGAATACCATATGAGGGTAAAATACAAAAGTTTTTGATATTCGTGTGCGCCTTTGTTGTGCAACAATTTGCACTCCATGCTGATTTCAACAATTGCAAATGAAATGCGAAATTATAAAAACATGTCATAGTTGCAGGTGAGCAGTCTGCACAAAGTTCTCTTTTACAATTAATAAAACCGACACATAAATCTGTATTCTCATTTGGGCTCACTTTGCAAATGCTGCTTTTGTCAGCGGTTTTTGTCGCTCAAAATTTGTGCTAAAAAGTATGCTACAGAATTTATGGCGCACTCGCTGTCAATTTTACAAGCGTACATGCGAATTTATGGCGCATTAAATTATTCGCTTCGTAAAAATTTCAACGCCGGTCCGAGGACTTACTTGATATTTCCACATGGTGCATGCAATTAGCATGTCCAGACGCAGGCGAGCAAAAAACATGTTGCCATATTGTTGACAGCCCCATAAATTGTTGCATGCACGTCGAAATGGCAGCGGGCCAAACACAAAATCCGGTAAAGCGTTGGCAAAATCCGGGGAAATGGGTGGAAAGTTCGGGGGAAAATAACCTCAGCTAACAGCCATCGCATATATGCGCATTTAGATGCATCGCAGCTTGCCGTTCGAGGACAATCTAAGGTCTTAATTGTTGCATTTTTGCACAAAATTCCCAGCGACATTGTCACCCAGTGTCTCCCATTTATTGTATGCAAAATCCGTCGCCTCGCTGCGGAAATGCTTCCATGTTCGGATTGTGGATGCCATAACCCAATTACGGCGTATGCCGCAAGTTCCCCGGCGGAGCAAAATGTCATCCAAAGTGGGGCGCGGTGCATTGAGTATCTGCACCCTCTGCTGCAGCGGAAACAAAATTACTAAGCGCCAAAGTTGAGGGGGAATAATATCACTCGGGGTCAATTAAGCCAAAATTCTGAATATTGCTACCCCAAAATTTGCTTTTAAAATTTAAATTAATTACATATTTTCTAAGTGTTCTTGGCAAACCATCATATATTTTCAAACTTGTTTCTAACAAATATGTTACAAATATTGAAAGATAAAATTCCACGTTGTCCAAAGTATTTTTTATTCACGATCAAGTATTTCTAAAATATACTTTTCTATTTATTAGGGTTGTATGTTATGTTTATTAATCAAGTTAGATATACTATTTTCTTTTTATTTTAAAAGACTTTTTATAATAGTGTACACAGAGAGAAATATCCAAGAACATTGTTCTTGAATTGAGAACATTCGTTCTTAAAAACCTTGTAAGTACATTGGTATCAATGTTCTCAATATTAAAACAAAATTGTGAGAAGGGAAAAGTTAAATTGAGTTTATTTAACAACTTTTTGATAAGTATACACTACTTACTGCGCTAATTGTTTATTTGCTGAGATATACTATGCATATACCGACAATTCAACTTGATTCGAATAAAATAAAAACATTTTCAATTTAAAAATGTCGTTTATTTTTAAGAACATTTTCAACTCAGATGAGAACGTTGCAATTGTCTCTGTGTACCCTTCTCTTATCCACAGGGGTCTAATGGGAAAAAATCGAAACATTCTACTATTTATTGCATTTCAATGGTGTTCTTTTTCAATATTCGAGGAATGTTTGAACATGTGGAAAGAGAAAATGGAATGCACTAGCACCGCTTAAATTAGATGTCAGTTTTCTACGAAAAAAATTTGATATAGTCGGCGATAATTCTAGTAGTTTTAACACACTGTTAAAATAAAATAATATATTTTAAAGAAATCTAGAAATTCCAGATATTTATTTAAAAGCAAAACATGACAGTTTTGTTATTGAATTTTAGTTGTTGTTGATAAAACGAAACATTTTGAAGACTTTTTATTCTTCTTCTGGTTCTAGTAGTTTTAACACCCTATTAAAATAAAATAATATATTTAAAAGAAATCTAGAAATTGCAGATTTTTATTCAAAAGCAAAACATGGCAGTGTTGTTATTAAATTTTAGTTGTTGATAAAACGTTCCATTATGCAGACTTTTTACTGTGTTTTAGTGGATGGAAGTGCAGTTCAGTACTCCATTTCTAGTCAAATTTAAGTTGCCCCAGCTGAGTTTGCCACTTTTACACCCTCCCGTAAACTAGAAGCCCAATTTTGCCGTGGACCCTGGATGGGATATGCAGCCTGCGTATTACATTAGCTCCCATAAAATGGGGAATATTCAGGGGAGCATTTTTGTCCAGCGCCAAAGATCGTGGCCCAGCTGCTGTCACCGAATGAAAGCGACAACAATGTAATTATCATAATTAAAAGGCAGCCCCAGTCACCGAAAAACCAACCCAGCCCATTCACGTGCCCTGAAAAAACTACGGAGAACGACGACCGGCGGCCATGAATTTCCTATTAACAGCCGTTCCCAGTGACAAAAACAACGACCAAGATTCACGGCGGAGGTTTTTCCATGGTTGGGGGAAATTAGGGTTCTAGGTTGGATGGCGAGGGGCTAATGGGGCGACGGGGTGGCAGCTGCATAATTGGACCAGGTCGCTAATTGTAAAACGGTGCGCATTAATTGTGTCTGCAGCGTTGCGCATTTTGCGGTTCCCCTTTCTTTCACCTTTGCCCCGGAGACCGCAAATTGCGATGATGAAACTCTTATGCAATTGCCCCCCATTTGAGAAAGATGCGGTACGTGTTGCTTTTCGGGGCGGACGCAGCTGCATCCGCAATGCATTCTTATCAGTGCTTCTTATCAGTGCCTTCGTGGAATCGAACTCACCTCACTGGAATGCCGGACATTGGCGAACAGCTGAGTCGGGAGGTCCTTTCCGCTGCGCATGTCCAGGAGGCGGAGAGAAAACATCGAAATGTGGTAGGCTTCAAATCAAATAAAACTCTAATCTTTTAAGATTTGAAAGTAAAGATAAGATAATATTAAAGATTGATAGAAAGACTGTGATACCAGTAAGATTTACCAAATCTTTAGTTACATTTAAATTTGTATTTTAAATAACTGTAAAAGCTCTCTACAAGACAACCAAAAGATTTTAATAATAGTGTTTGACTTAATGACTTACAATAATTTGTTTATCGAAGCTAGCATACCATTTAAGTAAAAACTTTTAACTTGAAACCATGTCAGCATCATGAAAAAGTCGCTCGATATTAATATTATTGAGCTTCTAACTTAAAAAGATATAATGATTATACCGATTTTCCGATAAGTCCATCTAAATAATATTATGAGTTTAAGTTAGAATAGGCTTTTACCCATTGTACAATAGGTACTCTTCGAACTAAGTATTTATATAAAATTCTACAAACTTTTATTAGAAATTTATTTTTACTTTGTATTCTTGCTTTTTGGTAGAACAGCATATCTAAATCTTCTTTGTAAAAGAAATCATATTAGTACTTATCAAAATTCTTACTTTTTTACTTACTTACTTTCTTAATTTTGAAAATTAGTAAGGGTCTTATAAAGTTCATCGAAGTGGCAGAAACTTGATTTCATTTTTTAGTAATACACCTACCTAAATCTTTTCTTTAAGGAAAATATTATAATATCTTAGACAAATTTGTAAAAAGTGATTTTAGAAACCGCTAATGACTTTATAAAGTTTGCCGAAGTTGCATGCAACAGTTTTCCTTAAACTGCCAAAGTTTTTCTTATCAGCGCCGCTTCCAGTCTAATCAGAAACATCGCTGGAAGGAGAGAGTGCAAAGAGAGCGCGGGCCCTAACCTGCCTCAATAGCGGCCAGTGTAACGGCTTTCACTTTCTCCGTCGCTCAGCTGCTGGTCCACAGACCCACAATGGATGCTTCGGGTCGTAGTCGTAGCGCTCGGCTTTTGGCTTCGTTTCGGGGCGTGGTGAATTTCCGAGCGGACGAAGCCGACTTTAAGGCTGGAGTTCCGATGGCGACCAGCGGTTTACAGTTCGTTCTGAAACGCGTCGCGGCGTGGTTGTGTGTCCATTGAAATAGTACCAGAAAATACTTCAAGAACCATTCCGATATTATCGGACCAAAGATCGCGTGTTTAGTGAAGTGATAAATAAGATTTATTGATGATTTATGACAAGTCTGTGAAAAGGGCAGCAGTAATTTGGGAAAATTAATAAAGCTGTGAGAGTTTAGAAAAACCTATATTGAAAATAAAGTTTTAAAAAATTATTTTCGGAACAAGCTCATAAGGTAGGTATTAACAAAGGAGTAAAAAATCAAAAACGAAATAATAAAAAAATTCTTCATCAAAAACTTTTTCATCATTGTCAAAAACAACTTTATAAACTAACAGCAGCGGAACCCTAAAAACCGTTTTTTAAGTTGCCTCAAATTAAGGTTATAAAAACAATTGGCAGTTTTTGCTCCGAGTTGATCCTTTGACTGTTTTAAACAAATGTCTGCCAGTGGGGCGTATGCGTAATGCCATTGTCCAAAGGAAAGCTTACGCAAATCGCATTCAGTTTGACTCAATTGTGCACATCCATCTGTGTGCATTCATAAAGCCGTTAAGAACTTAAATACCCGGACACATGTTGTGGACAAGCAGGAGCCAAAAAAATATACAGGTTATAACAAGTTAACAAAAAATGGTAAACTGGCAATAAATCCTTATACAACAGAGGCATGAGAACGCTGTGGCCAAGGAAAAGTAAATAATAAATTTCATCATGGGGGTTATATGCAGACTGCAAACAAAACAGAGTGGGTAAAGAACGAACACCTAGAGACCTGCAAGTCCATTAATTAGGAAAAGGTCAGAAGATGAAGTCCATATGGAAAATGAAAACCAAAAATGGAAGCCTAACAAAATCATTCATACGCCGTGTGTGCGCTGCCAGGTCAAGTGTGAAATTGTATTTTCACAATAAGTTTGACTCGGAACCTGGCCGAAAACCAAGGCCCCAGACTTTCTTTCTGGCAAATTAATTAAACTCCTTTGTTTGGATCCGAAAATTTCGGGCACCAATTAACTGGGCGCCATTTTGCCAAATGAAGAAATTATGCTTCTTTGATGTCAGCACATTTCTACTGGCTTTTGTAACCGACTTATTATACGCTTCATCCAAGTTAATTGCCATCTGCCATCAGCATCTCAAATCCCGAGCTTCTGCTTCAGCTCATTGTTTTAATTTGGGGCATTTACCTGCACGCTTTTAGCCGGTGTTTACTTTCACTTACCCCCCATTCCTCATCCCTCTTCCTGTCCATCCATTAATACTTAACTTTGCATACAAATGGGCCAACTGGGCGCTTCTGCTTTATGAATGCAAATTTGCCCAGCCTCCTGCTGATGCCTGCAGTTTGCCATTGACCCATGCTGCGAAGTATCCGAAGGATGCGGAGGATGCCGTGGTGTCACTGTCAGTTTCAGTTACTTATTTGCATACAGTTGGAGAAATTTAGGGGAAAGGGTTCTCTTCGCAGGGGGGTTCTTGAAATGTGTCTGCCTAAGGCAAATACTGAAAATAAGTTTGTGTTTGGGATATATAACTTTATTAAAAGTGAAATAACTTACTTGCCTTTATAGTAACATTAAACTCTTTTGTTTTTTTCCAGACAATTCTTTTATTAAGACAGATAAATGATTTATTTGAATATACTTGTGAACAAAAGTTCCAAAACCTCAAACTATATAGCAACCTTTCAACATCCACTTATGTTATTCTGGTTGTTCTTCAACTTTAAATTAGATTTTAACTTATATCATAATGTGACCTTAAGGAAATAGGGTAATTAACTTACTTTTATATAATGATGTTGAAAATTTGACATTTTTACTTTGAATGTTTTTCTTTCAAAATAAATTTAAGCAGCACATTTTGTTAACAGGACAGTTCTGAATCAGTTCGGTTTAAGATTTACTTCGGTTTAAAATTGCCAGAAACTCTTACTTGATAGCATTTATTTGGCACTGACTTCACTCAGTATTTTTTTTTCAATATAAATTTTTGTTTATTCAATTAATATAATTTATTTGTTTTGAGTGTATCCTCGTCAACAATAGCAACAGAATACAGAAAAAGCAGCAAATGTTTACAAAACACAGAAAAACGGCAAATAGTTGCACCCCACGTAGCCCATTTTTAGCTTTTTTGCCTTTCACTTACTCGGCGTTTACTCTGTGAAGACCCTTTTTTGGGCTGTTCTAAAACTTAACAGATATTCCAGACGCGGACTTCCCAGCAATGGATTTAATGCAAATAAGAAAAAACGGCAGCAAAGTAAAGCCGGATGGAAATAAGGCTTGAAAACAGCTACACGTGTTGGGTCTCAAATTTCTTTGAGATTCGTTTAAGTAGAGCTTCTTTCCCGCTAATTTTCAGGAATCTTGTGGCTTACCACATTATCCATGTGGATCAGTCGGTGGAAGAGTTTGCGAAAGAACTACTTAACCCTCCATCAGCAAATTAATTACGTAGGGGTTTTTTTATTTGTGAACTCTTAAACTTAATTTGTACTCAAATTAGAAACCAAGAAATCATAGTAAAACGTTATCATACTTTCAGTTTTTGGCATTAAAGTGGTTTTTTCAGTGTACATATGTGTCCAGTTTGTGTGTGAGTTTTACTTTATTAGTATTACAACTAAGACCCTAATTAATTTGAGCATTGATACAAGCTACGTAAATGTAATTAAAAACTAAATCACCAATGCAATACATTATTTGACAATATTCGGACAAAAGTATATACAAATGGATAAAGCTATCTGCAAATTGTTGTCATCCTTTGGTTTTTAAGCTGGTATTTTACGGATCTTCGGGAAATAAGCATGAGAATGTGTGCGCCTCAAACTTCTGGATTTTTCAAAGCCCTACAAATCGGCTTAAATGGTCGTCGTGGTCGGATTTACTCTGGAAAACTATTAATTATGCACAAGGAAAGAAGAAATGTATTCCCTTATTCCACTGAAAGGATAACTTTAACTCAAATAAGAATTTTCGTACCCCTAAGTTCGCCCACATAAACTTTTGATGGTTCTGTGTTTGAGTTGGGCCTTTGGCATGCAACCAATTAATTAAGGACAACACTGTTCACAGCTCATTTCGTAAAAACCCATGGGCAATCAATCTAATTGACCGACAGAAAAGCAGACAGACTCAATTAAAAAAGGCCACCATAGGGGGTAAAAGGTTGATCTTTTAGTGGGTCCTAGTTGACAGCCCCATCACTTAACTATTTAGTTGTTTTATCATCCGCTTACTGACCCACAATATCACATTAATTTATTTATGATTGTGGCGTGTTAAACAATAATTAAATTCGCCTGATTTGCGGTGTGGCCAAAACGAATCAATTATTTAAGCGTTTTCAAGTGCACACCCCTCAAATGCCTGACTGACGGCCTGACACCCACTCATTAATGGTTATAGATTTACCCGATTTGCCTTGCCTTTGGTTTGGGCATTAATTATGGGTCAACAAGGTAAAAGGTTATTTACTCTCCAGCTTTGATTGAGTATGCTTTGGTCAAATGCTTGTTTATAGGTTGCGATTAGGGATGACAAGGACATATTGACATGTAAGGAGTAAAAAAATTTTAGAACAACTGTCAAAATATTTTTTAAATATTCTACATCATTGCCTAACTATGTTCATTTTCATAATATTTAAATATATACTATCAAAATATAATAATATACATAACTAAGTACATTTTCATAACATTTAAATATCCCAAAAAAAAAGTTTGTAAGATTCAGTAACAAAGCAAAAATAATGAACACCACACAGTTTGATTAAAATATTCAATACTTTTACCTTACTAAGAAAATATTCATCAAATTTAAAAATCACTAATTTATTTTCAAGATTTTTAAATGTTTAAGGCATCATTTACTTGTAATCTTTTAAAAATTTATATGTTTTGGCTTTTAAAATGAAGATTTTTTTAATAAATAGTCCAAAATCGTACTTCTGTGCCATCTCTCTTCATCACGATCTATAGACATTGGGGTTCTCTATAGCTAGGCCCCTAGAGTGCCGTTCCTTTTGCGGTCAGTGAAAGTAAAAGAAACGAATGACAGAATAATTGCCATCGAATGGCAAAGTTGAGTTACAATCTAGGCGACTGGCTTTTCCTGCCAGTCCATTCTGCGACTTTTCCCTGCAGATGATTTGTGCCCTTCTTTCAGCACTTTTCTTTCCGTATTTTTTTGTTTTCCCCAGCCCGGGGCACCAGGTGCTTTGAGCCGAGGTTTCTTTTGCCTGTCAGTGATTGAAGCGCTTGCAAATGGCTACAATTGCGGCGGTTCTCTAAATAACAAATGGCCAAAGGCAAGTTTTATGGCCCGCCTCCCTTGACGCTACGATTTTCCTGGAACTTGTTTGGCCAAGTGTCGTTTCCAAGTTTTCCCTCTAGTTTTTCCTGGTTCTGGTTCCAGTTCTGTTTGGCTCGGCGTAAGTAAGGGCTGCCCGGCTGTCCTGTAAAAGTGAATTATGGCGACAGTTGTCAGCGGAACTTTTAAGCTGCCTACGGAAGAAGACAAAGCCAAAGGATGCACTCAGTTGGGGGGTATAAACTTGGTATTGCGAAACTTCCACATCCCCTGGCAAGCATATCATTTGTCAAACCCCAAGAGCCAGGAACTTCCCTCTACCTTCTGCTCCAATTGAAGTTCAGACTTCAGCAACAGTCAAGTGTCAAGGTTGACGGCTGAATGCAGACTTTGGGGCAAGGACAAGCTCGCGAAAATGGTCCTCTTAAATTGTCATCTGTGTGTGACCCCCACAGATCCCGATCCCCCTGCCTTTTCGCGGCTTTCGTCCTTCTGGCCCACAGGACAATGGAGGTGGTTGGTTGGCAGTGGTAGTGGGGCAAAGACAAGCATTTCACCGTCACTTGACTGACAAGTCGTGCGTGTGGGCGTGGTCGCTGTGAATGTGCCACCGCCCCCATTTCACCCCCCAACTTTCACTCGGTTATTTCAGCACTGTGCACACAGTTTGGGTATGCCGGCATTACGTTCAGAGGTAATCAGCAGGGGCCAAGGGATTCACTGGGTAAGGCAAATAACCATGGCATAAGTGGAGGAAAAATAAAGCAGACGTACGTATTCAGAAAAATAATATTTCCGATAATGAGGGAGCGAAAAATACCACAAGAATAATAATACAAAAGGAAAGCGTAGGAATACAGGGGAAAAATTACAGATATTTTTATTTTGGAGCAGCTTCTGTAAACGGAAC